TCACGGGAAGTCTTTAGCCTACCTAGAACATCTGAGTGCCCATTTCTCTAAAGAAAATGGATGGAAAGCAGGTGCCCAAAAGCCTTTCCACCAAATATGCTGACAACTCTGAAATGAGATTTAAGCAATCGCTGGTGACGCGGCGGTGACTCAGAGCGTGCCAATCCCATGCTCGGCCGTGCCTGGAGGCAGTTCTTCCCCATTCACCCCTAGTGCTCTGGGCTTAAGATTACACCTGATTTGAAGCATCCCTTGACTAAATAAAACAAGCCGTAAGCTGATCGCCTCGTGCAATGTGCAAGCACACAATAGTAATCACAGCTAATGACTCTGCTAAATGCTAGGCTGCACACACCTCCTTGTTTGGTGTTTGTTTTGTATACAGAAGGTAACATTGACTGAATAACGAGGATGCCAAGTTACAGATGGGGTTGTGGAATCGTATTTGACAGCCGATTAGAGTAATCTGACAGAAATGATGACTTAATCACCACGACAGACTCCAAATTCCCAGATAGAATTCCACCCAGGTTAATCTAATTTCCTTGCAATATTTTTGCCAGAAATAGACTCTTAGCCGGCTTGTTTTCTCCCATGCAGATGTCACATGGCTTTGACAAGAATGTAAATAGGTAGCGTTATTACTGTCGAAAAGATGACTTTGAGGCTTTAAAGCCGGAGAGGATGCATGCCTTTGAGAGGTTTTTGGGTTGCTTGGCTATGTTTTTTTCTCTGATGAAGTTATATGTACATACAGTGGGATGTACTCAGGAAAAAGAGGGGAAAAAGAAGATGTAACTAGTCAATTGTAATTCTAGGCCATGGCTCGGTCCTGCTGCTGCCCTCAACATAGCCAGCAGCCAGATTCCCATTGATCTCGGGGGGGGTTCAGGATTGCATGTTTGAGAACTTTCTTTTCCTTTTTGGTTCCCATGGACCACATCAGCACCCCTGCTTGGGATGCACCCAAGAAGCGGTGACGTGCTTGGCCTCGGGCTTTTCATGGCCTCCGTGACAGCGCAGGCAGAGGATGGAGCCTCCGCTTTGCTGCCAGCGCTGCCGCAAGGCACCACGCAACCTTGGGCAACAGGCAAGGTTGCTGCTCTCAGTAGTAAAACAGTGGTGATGGTGTGTTTGGATAGAGAGCCCTTATAGGAAAGGTAGGTCGTGCCATTACTGGCTGCACAACTGCATCCGGTAGAGTTCTCTAAAATATTGCCAAGGAGAGGTTATTCCTTACAGCCTGTTCTCCAGTCTGGTTTCGATATCCCCATGCACAGTGCTTGCCAGGGGAAGCTGCCCACATTCAGAAAGAACTTGCCTGAGAGCTGTGTTTGTTCTCTTTTACTATAGGGTCTGAGCACAGGATGACATTAATGTCTATAAATCATTTACTGCAGTTACTTTTCTCATTCTTGCCTATTTATTAATTGCAACTGTGCATTCATAAATACTGTATTTTTATAAGCAAAGCTTCTTCAAGCACAGAAGAAAATGTTTCCTGTTTTTCTGTGTGACAACATGACATACTGAGAAATCACTTACCTTGAGATCCATAAGTGTATGGCTTTGTGATGTATAGCTACAATAACAGCTTTCTGATAAGACATGAAATCCTTCATTTCAGTAGATTACATGATTCTAGTGGGTGGCATCTAATTTAAAACAGGTTTATATCATCTATAATCTTTTGGAGGGCCTCAGAAAGCACAGCTATTTTATTATTATATAGCCTGCAGTTATATAAGCAAGATATAAAACACAGATTATTTTCTCTTTTGCTCATTGTAGAGTGAAAGGATAGTACCTATTTAGCCTTTGTCTCTGCCCCTTTAATTTTCTTATTCACTGCACACTTCCTTGAGATTCATTCTTTCTTTTCTTTTCTTTTCTTTTCTTTTCTTTTCTTTTCTTTTCTTTTCTTTTCTTTTCTTTTCTTTTCTTTTCTTTTCTTTTCTTTTCTTTTCTTTTCTTTTCTTTTCTTTTCTTTTCTTTTCTTTTCTTTTCTTTTCTTTTCTTTTCTTTTCTTTTCTTTTCTTTTCTTTTCTTTTCTTTTCTTTTCTTTTCTTTTCTTTTCTTTTCTTTTCTTTTCTTTT